CTTTGATCTGACTTGCAAAATGTTCTTTTATAATAAATAAAAATAAATAAATGAAATCCGACTATTCTTTTGGAAGAGAGTTTTTCCTGTAAGACATGTTTTATACTAACAAATTAACCAGATCTATTAAGTTTGTATTGGAAAAATATAAAATACAATTTTTAATTGAAACTAATTTCAGTATTATTATTAAACAAAGATAAGACTAATTTTTTTGTATATTTTGCCATAAAAACAATAACTGCCGATGACAATTCTAATTCATCATAGCCAAACTGAAGAAAGTTATAAAGGAGCACTATCGTTATTGAAGTTATCTTTTCCACTGTTTCGGTGGTAAAGAGGTATTAGACATACAATATAAAATATGTTTAAAATAATTTTAACATAAAAACTTAAATCATAGATTAATAATGATTTATGAACTATTTTATATCTACAACTAGGCACCTACTTTATTCATGACAGATGACTCTAAATCTGACAAAAATGCATTAAATTCATTATGGCCTTCAGCAAGACAATACTTATATCATTTCCATATGGCTCGAGCTAAATGGCGTTGGCTTCGCGTAAGAATGAAGTAAGAGTATCTGATCGCGTAATTATAATGAGAAAATTTCAAAAGGTAAAATTTGATTTATTTCATATATTATTTAAATTTGAATACCTCGGTTATGTTTTTGAATCCCGTGTTTTATTATTGCACTTAACATTAGACATATGGAATAACATTAATTATAACAAAATGTTTAGTTTACATACCATACAAACTAAAAATACGCTACTTACTTTTAAATTCAAATTTATATTTTCTATGTACATTTTAATTTGAATAATATTAGATTTAGTAAATTAAACCTTTTAGAATATTTATTTAACAAGCCACTATACATACTGGTGTAAATTATTTTAAACAAAATTTCAAAATAAAATTCCTATTCACTTATTTCACTTATTACTTTACTATTCACTAACAAAGTATAACAATTTCACAACAAAATTTGATGAAAAATGTTATTTAATGCTGCCAAAATTAATCACTATATTTGGACAGTAAAGTAATAAAATTAATTATTATTACATAAATAAAATATTTAATTTAATTCTACCCAAAAATATTTTGTGCAAAATAGTAATATATCAACTTATGGAAACAAACGGAAGTTGAAAAAATGAAAATATTTAAATAATTTATACCAAAGTGAAATAAAAATATATACATCATTTAAGTACCTACATATTTTATATTTAAAAGGTTTGGCATAAGTTAAAAGAAAAAAATAATAACTTAAAAATTAATAGTGTTCTATTATTTGGTGTTCGGTATTTATTTACAATATCTAATTAAATTATTAATTTAGGTGATGTATTCTGATAATGAGCACGATATAGAAATATCTGTATTGTAAATACGTTGCAAGTCTGAAACCCATAACAATTTTGTTAGACATTTTGAAGGAAATTTTAATAGTAAAGACCAGTGGGTTCGATTATATAGACGTAATGTTATTTACCGAAATAATGAAACAAATAATAATGGTGAAACTTCAATTAGAATAATTAAAGACATATTATTGAACAGAACAAAAGCATACAATACAGTAGCCTTAATTGATTTTATTGTTAGTGTTGGAGAGGAATATTTCACCTTTCGTTTACTGGATCATGCACATGACAGAAATACTTAAACACATAGACTTTACAGTAAACTATGTTCTAAAACAGTAGATATTACAAAATAAGATGTAAAACAAATTTATGAACATACATACTCTATTCCAAGTGGATCAGATAAACAAACACTGTACACAATAAACACAGAAATTAGAGTTTTTTCCTGTAAAGATGGGTGTGTAGGAGCATTTTGTAAACACAAGCTTGGGTGCATGATAAATTAAAAGTTCAATTACCTAATATGCTCCAGCAGTAACATTAGAAGAACGATATTCTCTAGGAGTTTTATTATTAGGAGAAAAATGTCCAGAACCAAATTTTTTTCTAGGATTAAAGGAAAACCTGACCAAGAATTCAATTTATGAGATATTAACAACTTCTAACATGACACTAAAAGAAAATGGGTTTTCAGAAAACAATAGTGAACCTACCACAAACCTTTTTATGGAACAAACAAGTTTGCTGTTAAACTCTGAAAATAAGTTTGATAGTTTAAATAATAATCACAATAACAATGAAGTAGTTCATAGAGTTTTGGAAAAATGGTCCAGATTACAAAATATGATACCGTCATTGCCTTCATCAATACTACAAAATTTAAGTTAAAGATTAAAAAAAATACATAACAGAGAACAATTTATAGGATTTGTTCACTCTGTTAACAAGACCGCTACTAATATAAATAGAAGAAAAGGAAAAATTAGTGTTCAACAGACCTCAATTAGTAGGCGAAAAGAAGGCGTAACTCGTGGGTCAAAAAGAATTACATCAGGCAGAAAACCGAATGGAATAATTACAAAAAGGAAGCTAAAAAGACCAAATAATTTAGGAAAAAATATTTCCAAAAATGTATTAAATTCTAAAAGTCACGGAAGAGGCCACTAATAGTTAATAATAATTAATTGTAGGTATTAATTCGATGATGATAAAAATAAATAAATACAATTTAGCAAAATGTACCTAGCTTTTTAAAATTTGTATTATATATTTCTGAAAAAGTCATCTAAACTTAGTGTCGTACAGTATTTATTTATTTTTGACATTTGTAACAGTTGATAATATCAAATGATGAACAACAATTTATAAAGACTAATGATACACAATTTAATAGCTTATATACAATATAGTAGTAATACAAAATAATATATTTTTTTTTTTATTAGCTTTTATTTAAAAATTAGCTCAAAAATTATAATACATTAAAATACAAAATAATGTTAATTTATAGCAAAAAAAATGTATTGGTTAGGTTATAAAAGGTACACAATTGTTATATGCGACTGTGCAAGTATTAAAATTATAGAATAAATAATAAACTTCAATTGTGATACAACATAATGCAAGACATCTGTACATTGTACTATATATTATAAATTGTGTAAGCAATGTAATTGTATGATACTTAAATACAATTATTATAATTAATAATAAGACCAAAAATCCCATACCTTTCACCTCCAATGTTATCTAAATTAA